CGTGAGGAGGAAAAAGCAGCAGAGATGAAGTGTTAGGAACTGACTGCAACCCCCATTCCCCATCCCCCTGCACTGCTTAGGGGGAGGAGGCAGAGGAGTGGGAAATGAAGGTGTGAAGTTGAGCCTAAGAAGGTGGGGAAGGGAAGGTGTTTTAGTTTTTGTCTTTGTTTCTCACCATCTTACACACAGCTGGCAGTGTGCCCAGGTGGCCAAGAAGGCCAATGGCATCCTGGCCTGTATCAGAAATAGTGTGGCCAGCAGGAGCAGGGAAGTGATCGTGCCCCTGTACTTGGCACTGGTGAGGCCGCACCTCGAATACTGTGTTCAGTTTTGGGGCCCCCACTACAAGAAGGACATTGAGGTGCTGGAGCATGTCCAGAGAAGGGCACCGAGGCTGGTGAGGGGTCTGGAGAACAAGTCTTATGAGGAGCGGCTGAGGGAACTGGGGTAGTTTAGCCTGGAGAAAAGGAGGCTGAGGGGAGACCTTACTGCTCTCTGCAACTCCCTGGAAGGAGGTTGTAGCGAGGTGGGTGTCGGTCTCTTTTCCCAAGTAAGAAGTGATAGGACGAGAGGAAATGGCCTCAAGTTGCACCAGGGGACGTTTAGATTGGACATGAGGAAAAGTGCCTTTACTGAAAGAGTGGTTAAACACCAGGCTGCCCAGGGAAGTGGTTGAGTCCCCATCCCTGGAAGTATTTAAAAGATGGGTAGATGAGGCGCTTAGGGACATGGTTTAGTGGGCATGGTGGTGTTGGGTTGATGGTTGGACTCGATGATCTTAGAGGTCTTTTCCAACCTTTATGATTCTATGATTCTATTTTATTTGGCAATAGATTAAATTAGTTTTCCCCAAGTTGAGTCTGTTTTGGTAAGTGATCTCCTTGTCTTTATCTTAACCCAGGAGGTTTTCCATTTTATTTTCTCCCCTCATCCTGTTGAGGAGGAGGAGTGGGACAGCAGCTGCGTGGGCATCTTGCAGCCAGCCAAGGTCAACCCACCACAAATGGAAAAGAAAGAGGTAACAGTTTAATTACAGAAATCCATAACCTATAGTGTTGATCCATATCCCAGTTTAGACTCCCAGTTCCTAACTTCTACCCAGAATACATCCCTTTGGTCATATCACACAAAACATTTCCATCCTCAAAGCTATTGTACTGAAACAAATTGAAAGAACAAAGTAGGCTTCCACTCCTTCAACTAACACAGTAGCCCACTCAACTTCCAGTGCTTCCTAGGAAGATGTATTGAGAATGTATTTAAATTTAAAAGTGAAAGCTATTCTAAAAATTAATAGATCCATAAGAGTTTGTAGCATATCTCATATGGAAAGAATATTTGCTTCTGGAAGACTGTGATCACAGTCTGTCACACATGCTATTTTACCAGCTTAGGATATTAACGTCAGAGACCACGGAGATGACAAAGCTATGAATCTGCCCACTCTTTGTATCACTCAACCACACATCAAGCAAGCTGCAAGTAAGCACTTGCAAAGTTTCCTCTTCTCCCTGTACAACTAACCACAGCGTTGGAAAGTGATAGACCGGTCACACAAAGGGCACATTCTGACCCTGCGAAACAGAACCCTGCAATGCTTGGTCCCCCTACTTGATAAAGAACAGCAAGAAAGAAAATGGTTTAAATCTCCTCCAAAACATAAAAGCATCCAGTATCTCATGAGCAGATTTTTTTTATAAGATATATAAACCTCCAAACTTCCCCCTAGAATAACTACATATTGGTAGCACGTTAACGGGAAAGATATGAACAAGATTGTTTCATATGTACCTTTGTCCACCTCTGGATTTTCATGTACAGTTTTTTCCTTAAATAAAAAGAAAAACAATATCAAAGTTCTATATAAAATGAGTCCACAATTTTAATTTAATGCTTACGGGTAAATTCTCTGCCCAAAGATTACCTGGCTTTGAAAGGGTATTTTAAAGGCTGACAATATTTACTTGCATAGTTTTCCCCACAGCTGTGTCCCTCATATCTGTGTGGGACAGGTAAGAGTCTATTAAGCTATACTGTTACAAGCAGACATGGCAACCAGATATTGTCCACGTAGCTTTGTATGTGCTATGAAACAAACAAACAAACAAAAGACATTCTTACAGCTGTTGAGGTGCTTACTTTTTCCTCCTTCTGTACCACCGGTTGGACAGATGCATGAGAGAGACTTTCAACATCAGTAGGCACCTGCACATCTGGTATATTCACAGGTATTTCCAGCTGTAAAAATAATTTTAAAAGTATTTCAGTTCATCAGCCCCTACAGAAAATCTGTCAAATGCAAATTTTTATAAGCCACATACACTTTCCAGATCTTGAACATGTAGTGGGATACTTCCCAAAAATCAAGTCTTACACTACATACCTTCTGATTTAAGAAGGCAGCAGTTGTATGAACTGCTGGAGGCAGAACTGGTAGTGCTGCTTGTAACTAACTTGAAGCATCAGACAACCTAAGACCTTGTTTCTAATTGCTTACTACTCCACCAAACTAAGTTATGCGGCTGAGACCTTTCATGGTGGCCGTTTACCTCAAATGGGGTTTGTTCGTTTTCACACTTTTTCTGCTTTTTAAGTCTTCAGAAAAGAAAGAGTTCAGCCTTTTTCCAAGGTAAGGCTAGGGAATACGCACACACCCACACACACAGGCACATACTCATTCACCATTTTACCTATTTTTTTTTTCCTTAAACGCTGTCTTTTCACTGAGAACTTCAGATATTTGACATTTTCAGAAATGAGGACTTGAAATTTGGCAGAAAGGTTACAATATTTTCAGTGAGGTTCTTATGAAAAACACTGCTCAATCTGGATAGCTTTCAAAGGCTTGCACTTTTACATATACTTTCCACTGATCTCTTTAAATTTGACAACAGCTGAATCCTCAGGTATCTACCCATATCCCTTACTAGTACTCATGGCTCCTGTGTGTTAAACCAGGAAACTTGATCATTATCCCCACATGTAATATATTCCACATCTTTGAAGTTAAGGGATTCAGTAAACTCTCTGTGCCACAACTTTCAGTCCATTATTGTTCTAGAGTCTCCCTTGGTGTTTTGACTGAGCATTAAATTCTCTTGCTGTTTCAAACACAGAAAGAAACAGTGTGATTAATTCGGGAGACAAAAAAAGCAGGATTTCAATGGGAGAAGAGAGGAAGATGACTAGTAGTAGTAGGCAAAAAGAATTGGAGTGAATGGAAAGAAATAGTGATGAACATCTGAGGCATGAATGGAAGAGATCGGACAAACAGATTTGGAATGAAGCAAAAAAAGAAAAAAAAGAGGAAGACACATCACTGAGACAAGACAGGCTAGAAGGTATAAAAAAAGCAAAGAAGTCATGTTGAATGATAGGGAAAAAAATAGAAAAATGTCTAAACCTTTGAGCACAATCCCTTTCAAGGCCTTGAACAGATTCCACTGTTCACAAACCTGAACAGTTCTCTGATGACAAAAAAGTATGCCATTTCCTCTCTAGTGACTGGTCTTAGTAAATATAATACCAAGTCTTGCTACAGTCTTACAGTCTTGAGTTTTATTCTAGTCTAAGAGTACAATTAAAGCATAAGCCTGCACTCTAGGCTTAATGCTTCCAACTCTACAAATGGACCATTTGTAGACCAAGAGTCAAAACATACAGCTTTTGAATAAAATTGACAAAGATGTAGATGGTCTCTCACTGACAGTAGCAGGGACTGAGGCCCATGGATCTGCCCATTCCAGACAGAGCAGGAACATCCCTGAATGGACTGCAGCCCACGGAGGACCCACGCTAGAGCACGGGCAAGGAGTAGAGTCCATTGCAACGTCAAACCGTACAGCCTGAACCAAAGGGACAAGGGCTGGAGATTTTAATGGATATATGTTTAAACATTTTGAACCCATTATTTGAGTAGTAAGCTATAGTAAGTAAGTACTATAGCAAGAACATGAATCAAGGGAAGACAAGCCTCACAAGAAACCAGGCAAGTGCAGTAGTGACCAACCTGAGTTGGCTTTGGCACCCAAAAACTCAACACAACATGCCACCTCTCCCGAGCAACTACGTAATACATGGAGCCCAAGGCATGGACCAAACTCAAAGGACATTTGATGGACATTTTAAGGGGCTGGCCCACAGACCAAAGGAATAATATCCATATATATATCAAAGGACAGGAAGAGAAGTTGTGGTTAATAAGGATGTACTGGATAGTGTAGGACCTAAGCATGACAAATGGTATGAAATAAAGGGTGAATATTACACTAGGCGTGGCTGGAATGAAGTTAATTTTCTTCACAGCAGCCCACATGGTGCTGTGTTTTGGATTTATGACTACAACAGTGTTGGTAACACACCAGTGTTTTTGCTATTGCTGAACAGTGCTTGCACAATGTCAAAGCTTTTGTTTTCCTACTTTTTGCTCTAGCAAGTAGGCTGGGAGTGGGCAAGAGGTCAGGAGAGCACACAGCTGGGACAGCTGACCCAAACTGAACAAAGGAATATTCCATATCATATGATGCTGTGCTCAGCAATAAAAGCTCAGGGAAAGGAGGAAGAAGAGGAAGGCATTTGTGGTTACGGCATTTATCTTCCAGAGTAACTCACACAGGCTGAGGCCCTGCTTTCCAGGAAGCAGCCAGCCAATAGAAAGTAGTGAATAAATTCCTTTTTTTTGCTTTGCTTTCACCTTTTGCTTCACCTATTGAACTGTCTCTATATCAATCCATAGGTCTTTTTACCTTCCTTCTATTTTCTCCTTGTCCCACAGGAGAGGGGAGTGAGGAAGCAGCTCTGTGTGTGCCTGGCTGCTGGTCAGGGTCAGCCCACCACACAGTTAAAGTTTCTTGGTGAGGGGGACACCACATACAGAAACATCTCCCTCACTCCCTTATTTCCTAACATTCAAATGTAAAATTGAAATGCTCCATTTGTTCCATCTTGGGCCTCAAAACACGTAGTTAGCATGGTAGTCTGTGCTTACGTTCAATCCCAATAAACAAACTGGTGAGCACCCTGCAGACCTATATACAGCTTGCAAACATAACTGGACCTTAGACTGATACAGTATTTTGTTCAAAACCAAGCACATGTGCCAAGTAACATCCCTGCTACTCTCAATGCCATTCTTAAATTAAACTAAATTGCGATAAAACCCAAGTACTCGGTGATGCAATTAGAATAAAAGCTGTTTAAACCACCAAAACAAAAGTACATATGCAGAACCCAGCTACATGATACCTCCTCCATGGTTTCCTCTATCTGAACAGGAACAGGTTTTGGAGATCGAAGACCTATAGGAACAAACACTGGAGCTTTGTTTACTTCCTCCGGTGCAAAGCATTCATCTTCATCATCAGGCTCAAAGTCATCTGCCGCCTCCTCCTCCTCCTCCTCCTCTTGAAAAGCCCAGAGGGTCACCAAGGCTGTCTTTGAACTTCTGTGCTCCTTCCCAGATTTCTTCCTATGTGTAGTTTTCAAATTTTTGCCTCTAGTGACACTCAGTTTAACTTCTTGCCTTTGATTCCCCTTCTCACTGCAATCAGCCTCACATTCAGAGGCAGAAGAAGCAGTCCTTAGTTTCGAGACATGTTTTGGCAGTGCTATCCGTTTTGATGGCCTTCTGGACTGCCTTCTAAAGTACAAAACAAAAGCATGTTTAAAAAACAATGAAGTCCAAGACATTCCAAAAAAACGGGTACCACAAATCAAAACAAACTCAATGAATAAAAAAGGATCATTGTGACCAACAATACAATCTATTTACTTCCTAACGTATAGTGACAAAAATGCATCCACATACCATTTAATCAGAAATCCTAATTTCTTCATGCATGCACAAAGTACTGATTGTAAATGTGTATTAAGCAGTTTCATAGTGTTGGAAAGCTGTGCAATTAAATTTACAAGATACAGAATTCTTTGATTAGAAAAGGATGAATTAATTTTCATTCTGAGGGACAGGGAAGTCACATGCTTTTTATGTCACAGGAACATTTCCAGTTCTCTTTTGCTAAAGCTAAACTAGGAGCCCCAAACTATGATACTTTAGTTGATCAGACTAATGTCTAGAAACTAGAACCATTAGATGATCATTAGTTATCTGCTCCGGTTTCTCAGACAGCAATCTCTTCAATAATCAGCTGCTTACTGTTTCCCTCCTCAAGATGACGGGCACAACCACTTTGGGTACCAAAATTCTAAACTTCCCCCAGAAAACATACTCCTTGGTAAACTGGTGGGGAGGTGAAACAAATAGCAGCAGAGGACACTTCCAGCACGGAGTTTCTGTTTAGGTTAATCCCACAATCCCTGTGCCCCCAGTACAGGTACTTCAAAGTCCTCCCCTTTAAAATCAGGAATTCCTGTTGAAACCAAAGGTGGACCCTGGGATGGGTTGGTGGGAGTGCTGGCTGTGTTCATTTTATGAGCATACAGGTAGGGTAAGAGACACAGGATATCTGCATGCATCTGGTAGAGTTCAGATGGAAGACCCAAGGATTGACATCCTGCATGTGCTCTCATAACACACTGCAGATCAATAATTACTTTTAAAAATAAAAATCAGTTGAGCTTACAAGCCAAAATTAGTTTTTTTACCTTGTGAGATCATCTGAATTCTTTTCCTGAGAGGTAGAAAGCTGAGAATCATCTTCTTGTTCTACTTGACTCTCACTCTCTGATGATATCTCTGGAGACTGGAGTCTACTATCCTGCCTGATTCTTTTACAAGATGTTTCTTCAACAGAGTCTGTAAAACTGTGTTTTCTTGTAGCCTCTGAGAAGGATGCATCTTCCACTATGTTACTGGAGTTTTGCTGAACAGAGGAGACAATTACTACCTTATTAAGTGCCAAACATTTTTAATCGGGTTTGGTGACAAAAAGATTTAAAGAACTGAGTTTGAGGTTCTTGAAAACATGTCCAGCTGTCATCTCTGATAGCTTGGGACATTCTTCCCCATTTTGTCTAATTTCGGGCTCTATAGCCCAAGTGTCATTAGATGGTATTATCTATGATGCCTGAGTTCCCAGTGCTGCTGCTAGTTAATAGACGAAGGCCATGCACAACTTAAGAGCAGCAACTCTTCAGAAGTTGGAAGGATGAATAATTTTCTGAAACTACCTATTAATTTAAAGAACAATTTGAGGGAAGGAAGAATTTTTTTTTTCTGCCCTGGGAACAAACTAGGAAGAAAAAACTACCATAGTTTACAGAACAGCATTTAAATATTATTCAAAACACACACAAGAAACTTATCCCAGAACATAAAAACCATCAGTAAGCACAGTTCTGTCAACTATGGATGCTTGGCTAAAATAATATGTTAACTGAAAGATTTTAGTGATCCATCTAGAAAATAAGGAACACCAGATAAACTCGATTCAGGTATTGCAACTTTAGACAGAGAAGGAACTAGTCTGGGCTAGGTTAGGACTGTTAAGTGAATTTAAGCAGAAGGAGGTCTGAACTTTGTTCACATATATTTCAACTTAAAAGTATACTTATATGTATTTTAGGTAGTATCTGATGTTAGACAGCTGCCTTAATTTCCATTGTCCAGTGAATAACAGACATTAAATTAATTGTTAACAGTATTAGCATGTATTTATGATAATACAGACTTCTGACCATATAAACTGTAAGACTTAAGACAACAATGTACATCAAATATTTCCACAGTTTTTAGATTCTAAGTCCATTTATTCATCATCATTTCCAACAGTGAGTTAAAAGAATCACATTAACCTTTCACAGCCATATACTGGGTTTCTGTGCCATCTATGGTTCCAAGAACTTAAACACAAGAATTGCGGTACAAATTGGCTCAAAACACATGATCAGCACTTACCATCGATACACCTGTTTTTTCTAACACCAAACACACTTCTGCATTTCTATTCTCAGCATTGTCCTCTTCTCTGTTTTCACCTTCTTCAGCATAAACTCTTTTTCTAGTAACTCTCATTAGGTTTGACTTTGGGTTCCAGAGGGGTTCCCTCGCTTGATGCAAAGGTTTTGTATCACTCTTTTTACTTTCTTCTCCAGAACTTAATTTATCATTGGACCTACAAAAATATTTTTCAACTTTACTTCTCAGGAACTACAAAATACACTCTATAAGCTTGGTTTACTATCAAATATTTAGTACTTCCAGCTAGAAACGAACTTAGGTGTTCTGCGTTTTTATTTAGGTAGTTGGTAAAGTTTAAAAAAAATAAGGGAAGAAAAAAAACAATGTGAAAAGGAGACAATTGGCTTTTCTGCAGTAGAGGACCTTTCTGATTACTTTTGGGAAAGTCTTTTGCAAGGAAAACAACATTAAGAAGTCAAGTAGAGCAGAAAGTTTCAGCTATACTACCATAGGTTCCAAAAATTAAGCAACCATAGGAACATTACATTAATTAATTCCAGCATTCAAGGTACTACTGCTTTTAAACAGGATGAAATTCTTACATCTGTTCAAGCACATTCAGATCAGTAAGACAGAAATCTTGGGCTTTTAAACTCATGTCTCGGGAAAGGGCAAGAAGGAGGACCCAGGGAACTACAGGCCAGTCAGCCTCACCTCAGTCCCTGGGAAAGTGATGGAACAACTAACCCTGGAAACCACTTCCAGACACATGAAAAACAAGAAGGTGACTTGGAGTAGTCAGCATGGATTCACAATGGGGAAGTCACGCTTAACCAACTTGATAACCTTTATGATGAAATGAGGGGCTCGATAGATGAAGGGATAGCAGTAGATAGTATCTACCTTGACTTTAGTAAGGCTGCTAACACGATCTCCCCTAACATCATCACAGCAGAGCTGATGAAGTATGGGCTGGATGAGCAGACAAGGAGGTTCACTGAAAACTGATTGAATGGCCAAGCTCAGAGGGTGATGATCAGTGGCACAAAGTCTAGTTGGAGGCCAGGAACTAGCAGTGTACTTGCAGGGGTCAATACTATGTCCAATCCCGTTCAACATCTTCATTAGTGATCTGGATGATGGGGCAGGGTGTACCCTCAGCAAGTTTACAGTTGACGCAGAACTGGGAGGAGTGGCTGATACACCAGAGGGTCATGATGCCAACCAGAGGGACCTGAACAGGCTCTAGAAATGGGCTGACAGGAACCTCATGAAGTTCAACAATGGGAAGTGCAAAGTCCTGCACCTGGGGAGGAACAACCCCAGGGACCAGTATGTGCTGGGAGCCACCCAGATGGAAAGCAGCTTTGCATAAAAGGGCCTGAGCGTCCTGGTGGACACAAAGATGAACGTGAGCCAGCAACGTGCCCTTGCAGCAAAGAAAGCTAACGGTATCCTGGGCTGCATTAGGAGAAGCGTTGCCAGCAGGTTGAGGGAGGGGATCCTTCCCCCCTGTTCAGCGCTGGTGAGGCCACACCTGGAGTACTGTACTGGAGTGCCCAGAACTGGTCACAAGAGACATGGACACACTGGATAGAGTCCAGCAAAGGGCTATCAAAGGTGAAGGGACAGAAGCATCTCTCCTATGATGAAAGGCTAAGAAGAGCAGGGACAGTTCAGCCTGCAGAAAGAGAAGGCTTGGTGGGAGTGGGTAGGGAAGTCTCTTCAATGTATATAAATACCTGAAGGGAAGGTGTAAAGATAGACAGAGCCAGGCTCTTTCCAGTAGTGCCCAGTGGCAGGACAAGAGGCAACAGGCACAAAATGGAACACAAGAGGTTCCCTTCTGAACATCAGGGAATACTATTTCACTGTGAGGGTAACCGAGCACTGGCACAGGTTACCCAGAGAGACTGTGGAGTCTCCCTCCTTGGCAATAGTCCAAAGCTGTCTGGACATGGTACTGGGCAACCCGTTCTAGGTGGCCCTGCTTGAGCAGGGGGTTGGACCAGATGACCTCCAGAGGTCCCTTCCAACCTCAACCATCCTGTGATTCTGTGAAATTCTGCCATCACAGAAGCCAAGAAGACTGTAAGGTAAGGTCCTTGTCTTGTTAGCACGAAGCCTCTGGGATATGATTTCAACGTAAGTTATAGAAGAGATTTTTAAGCAGAGGCTCAGGGACAGATGGGAACCAGAAGCTAATTTTAGAAAACAGCAAAAGTAAATGGATTTGAGGCTGCTCTGTATCAGATAAGATTGAGCAAAAGGTAGCTTATAACATTACTCAGAACCGTTACATGTAAATGGCACTATCTGCCTCATATTGCACATACATAAAAAGCATCCCCTCCACCAAAGAACCAGGACACTGCACATCCTTGCATGAATTTCTTCTGGAAAGAAAAAGTGAAGAGGCTTAGAATACATCTTAGACAGCAAGCTCATTTTATGTTACTCTGCCTACCCCTTCGCAATTATAAGTGAGTGCAAATGGCACTGCTCAGTCTTCCTTTCAACGGTCCACATTCATAGTGCACTGTACCCTAAGAATGTATTACTGAGAAATTCAGACAGCTAAACTGATTACTTGCGTCTACTCTCACTTGCAAAATACCTTCTAAAAAGGAAAACAGCCTTGAGAAAAATTCTGTTAAAAACTCTTCTATTACCTAAGGATGCCACCTAGTGACCCTCACAGCGTGTAGCATATAACTAGTACAGCTCAGAGCCTACACTTCAAAAAGCAAGTGTTGTATGAAAACAACTGGACAAATACACGAAGTTTTTAAAGAGTTTTTTTTACTTTGTCAACAGGGAACTTTACCTTGCTATGGTATCCTGAACGCTTCCTATAGCGTCTGTAGATAGACCTTCGTGTTCTCCCTTGCTGTGGCAGTTAGGTGATTTTTTAGAGGAACAGAGTGTTTCTGACTTCATACTTTTTGGATTTATGTCTAGATTATCATTCTTGGCCAAATTCCCCACAAACAACAATGCTTCCATGTCATCCTTAGATTTGAGAAAAAAAAACAACAATATTAGCACAAAATACATCACCTGTAAAATAAAGCATTGTAAGTTAACCTGAGACAAAACTTAGCTTAAAAACTTTCAAGTAGTTTATGGCACCCATCACTGTTACTTGTGCCGTTAGAGAAGGTATTTATCTAATAAAAACAGATACTATAACCAATATAGTCTTTCATGAGCAACCACCAAGGAGTTCAGAAGAAACCCAGCAACAGAAATATGGCATGCAGGTAACTATTCATGTATCATGAACATGACTGAAGTTTCAAAGTTTAAGTGAAGTCTTTAGATTTGTTAACAGAAGTCTATATATTATCAACGTGTCATTAACAGAATTTTAGAAGACCTCATATTAGGGTGCAAATATTAAACAAGAATGTAATTCTTACTAGTCCAAAATTAATTTATGCATTTAAAACAGCTTATTTAGATGTCTTAAAAACAGCTGGTGCGGAACCAAGCATCAGAAAGTGTAGTCAGAAATATCTGAACAGAATTCTCACTTTTGAGGAAAGAGGTTCCTCAGACACTTCTGTCACAGGAAGACTCTCTCCTTTATTTGCTTCTTCCTCAAGTGGAGCAGCAAGTTTTTGTGCCACTGGAGATTCTTTTTCGTTATATGCTCTTTCTAGGTTTCGTCTAGTTCTCTGAGATCCATTCCTTATGAATTGTCCTGGTTTCAGAGCGCCCAGCTTGCCTTCTTTGGAAGTGGATTTTTCACCACTGTTGAATTTACAGCAAACAAACGAAAACAAAAACAAAATTATGTCACTTGACTTTGGTTGGGAGGGGAAAAAAGCAATTCTGCATTCATTAAGTTTTGAATCAACATTTATACAAGAGGGTTAGAGACTGATATACTGTTTTGTTTAAAATCAAGAAAATTATCTTTTCAAATATATATTTCTCACTTTGGGCATTTATGGTTAACATGTGAGAAGGAATAACAAGATTTCTTTATCAAGGCATTTTTAGCATCAAGAAGAAAGTTGTGTTGCTAACCGTACCAACATCAAAGTATCAGCAGTCTAATACATGCTTAAGATCTTATTTTAACAAGGAAAACAGTAAAATAGAAGAGCACACTGGGCTCAGTGAAAGACAGATCTCTGACATTTTACAAAGTTTATATTTGTTACATATACATGATCACTGTATATGCAAATACAATCCCAATAAAAGAAAAGCTTGGTCAAAAAGAGCTATAAGCTCATACAGATCAAGTATGTACCAGATAAACAATGACAAGTAGTTCAGCTCAACTAAAAATGTGCTCTGAAAGCATGGGAAGAAGCTGACTGTAA